TCTATCAAAAAAGCTACCGTAGATCTATCAAAATCGATACTTTGCGACAGGCAGGGCTATTGGTTTTAGTAGTATCACGTGATCTAGAACTGTCCCTACTGTCCCTAAGAACTGTCCATAGATTTCGCGCACCCGTTGGGTGACCCGCACGAACCCAAAATCGGCAACGTGATTGCTAGCCAATAAAATTTACAAATATTGGTTGGTGTAACTTCTAAATGCGTAACAAAAATTAAGTAGATAACGATAATCATTGTAGATTATCATCCAACGACTATTTGCTTCGAAAGTTTTAAAGTAAATGGCCATATAAACGACTCGGGTATATTACATTCCACCGGTTAAAAGTTTGAATTATATCCGGATGGCATCTGCTCAGAGAAGGATATAGTAATACAAATTACTGATTGAGTCTCTTACATCTAAACCAATAAAATTTCAGGATCTCGTGTAACAAAAAAAAACCGCGAAACCAACAAAAAAGTGAGTTAGAATCAATAAATTATCGATGTTAGTCAAAATCTAGCCAAAATCAGAAACTTATCGACTCGTCTTCAGCGATTTTATTTTGTCCTATAAAAATTTATGACCTAGAATTTTGTAAAAAAAAATCCATTTCCGGTACAATTGAACTTCGTTAATTAAAAAAACAATCTTTATACTCGCAACAATTCCCAAAATGTCGTTAGCTACTTTCGCTAGGACGAGACTTCCTTTAATTTTTAGACAAACCTTTTCCCCAGTTAAGCTTGGATATCCAAAGCCAAGGTAGATTTAAAGTTATCACTTTATAAACTTCATTTGAAATCAGTAAGTAACGACGATCTGTAAAAAGCTACTTATCGCACACCGCGTCGGTTCGTTACTTTGAAACCTTTCCTTCTCTTCATTCTTTAACCGAAGAAGAAGAAAGTATCCGCGATACAGGTAAAGGAATGTAATTTAAATTTCACAAGCTATGGATATCTGCCTAGGTTGACATTTATCCCCCGACGAAAGTTGCTAGGTTTGCTCAAGAAAAGATATTACCAAAAGTTCAGCACATGGATGAGACAGAAAAAGTCGATCCAAGTGTACTTAAGGGCCTTTTTGAGCAGGGGGTTAGTCTTAATTCGCATGTATCTCATATATATATAATGTGAAAGATTTCCTTTACAGTCTTAATTTAAATTTCAGCTTATGGGTGTTGAAATAGAAGCTGAATACGGTGGTACCAATAGCTCATTCATGTCCGCTGTCCTGGTGGTCGAAGGTAAGATATACAATTTTCCAAAAACAGTCACATATTTTTTGTCATTAACCTTTGAATCTTCATAGAAATCGCGAAAGTTGATCCTTCAATTAGTGTAATTTGCGATGTTCAGGTTAGTTTATATAGTGCTAGAAACCATCAAGTGATTGGTTTTTATTCGAAAAAACCAACGAGCTTGAATTGCAAAGTTATCGGTTAGAATATTTAAAAAAACATTGTGCAAAGTGTTTAAACGATTGAAATTTAAAACAAATCGTGTAATCAGAAATTTTAGATCTCTAGCACCGTAATTTATCATAAATTTTATTTAAATTGAAATTTAATTTAATTGAAATTGAAAATTTTCAGAATACTCTTGTCAATACATTATTTCGAACTTATGGTAGTGATCATTTGAAAAAAAAATATTTACCGAAACTTGCAAGTGATACAGTAAGAATTATATTTACTTCTAAGTTATTCATAATATCCTTATACATTTAGACAATTAACAATTATATTTTAGGTGGGTTGTTTTTGCCTTTCCGAAGCTGGTGCTGGTAGTGATGCTTTTGCACTGAAAACGCGTGCTGAAAAGAAAAACGGTCACTATGTTATTAATGGCTCGAAAATGTGGATCTCAAATTCAGCAGAAGCAGAAATCTTTCTAGTTTTTGCTAATTTAGGTATTTAATTTCTTAATCTGAATTATACATTCATGTGGTAAAAGATGAACCATCGTAAACGTATATTTCATTTTTTAGATCCTTCCCAGAAATATAAAGGCATAACGTGCTTTGTTGTAGAAAAGGATATGGGTGTTAAAGTTGCAAAGAAGGAATCAAAGGTTTGTTTATAAATATCCTTAATAAAACACTTGATATCATTAAATCCTTATTCAGATATATTAACATTTATTTTACAGCTTGGTATTAGGGCTTCATCGACATGCACCTTGAATTTTGATGATGTAAAGGTATTATCAACTCTTTATGACTACTTTCGTGATTATTAGTTAAATCAGCTATCAACTATTCTTCTTAGGTCCCTGAAGAAAACTTACTTGGAGAGGAGTTTAAAGGTAATATTTGACGCTCACAAGGAAATTTAACATACATATTTCATTGAGACTTATTTTTTAGGTTACAAGTACGCTATCGAAATCTTGAATGAAGGTCGAATTGGAATAGCAGCTCAGATGATAGGTCTAGCTCAAGGCGCGCTTGACCACGCGTTACCTTACTTATTCCAAAGAAAAGCATTTGGATCTTTTATTGGCGATTTCCAGGTATATGTTGGGTATTTAACTTTTAATACACCTAAAGATTTCTTGCTGAAATAATGTATACACATCTGTTTACTAGGCAAATCAACATCAATATGCGCAAGGTTATTAAAATATATATAATTTTTATTTGTTATTATCAGTTAAAATAATTATGTTTGTGGATTACAGCTGCTACTGACATCGAAGCGGCTAAATTATTGACATATAATGCTGCTAGATTAAAACAAGAAGGAAAAGATTTTATTAAGGAAGCTGCTATGGCCAAACTATACTCATCTCAAGTTGCAGAACGGGTCTGCTTAATATCTTAAATATATATATATATATTTTATATTAATTTTAATAGTTATATTGACAATATCACTACTAAATAGGTTGCGTCAAGAGCGATTGAATTAATGGGAGGTGTAGGGTTTACTAGAGAATTTCCAGGTAAGCTTTTTAATTTTCTTTAACTTGTAACGAAGACGTCAACTAATTTCTGTCTGCTATAGTTGAGAAATATTATAGAGATGCAAAAATTGGTAAGGTGGTTTCTTTTAAACTTCAGTTGATAGACTTTATTTGCTAAAACATATATTTTTGCTATATTTGCAGGCTCTATATATGAGGGTACTTCAAATATTCAATTGACGACCATTGCAAAATTAATTGCTGCAAACTATAAAGCCTAAGTTTGAGTAATATTGGCTTAGGAAACCCCCATGGGATATGGAATACACTAAAGTCGGATAATTCATAAATTGACTTCTTTAATTTATATATTTTTAAAACGTTCAGAGAATAAAACATTAAATTTTTGTCATTAGCATCTGGGTGATTTTTATGCCCAATAGTGAGTGTAGTCGTTTTGGCATTAGCGATAAAATCGAGTTAGCAAACTAAGGTTGTTCTCAAGTATAATCGAGATATTACTCAATCTTTCGATTATTGCGGTTTGCAAAATTTTGTAAATTTGCAGATCAAAAATAAAACGACATTTACTAACAACACACCTATGGTGTTTTACACCTATGAACTTATTATTTCAAAAACTAGCGAACTAATCAGTGCGGGGTGTTCTAAGCAAAACGGACAGCCCTAGCCCTAGCCTTCTACAAAAAAATTGTTCACCCCTGTAATTTTGACCAATCGAATTTTAGGATCAGCTGTAACGTGAAATCGAGAATAGCTTCATATGGGCCGATTTTTGGAATTACTATTTGAATAAATAGTTTTTAAACTTTAATTTTAAATAACTTTTTATAAATTAATTTGTTTAAAATAATTTTGTTATCAAAATATTTTTTTTTTTTAAAATAATTCTAATGAATCCAAAATCATTTAAATTGAATCACAAGATTATGAAATATTGTATTGTTAATAACACTTTTCATATGGGACTGATGGGTTTGATATATGTCAAACCCATCAGCCCCACATAGAGGGTGTATTATTATTTGACAATACAATATCTTATAATCTTTCTGTAAAGGTATTTCTAGGCATCTTTGATCAGAGATGCCTAACGATAATATTTCGGACCTAAGGGTTAATTAAAATGCTAAATAATCATATAATAGCTATTTTTATATAGCACAAAGGACAATTATCACAGATCAGTCTGACAAAACAAAAACAACAAAAAGTGCAAAAAAGTAAAGAATGTGAAAAATATTAAAAATGGCTATCTAAACCTATTTCGGGTCACTAATTAAAAGTGTTGGAAAGATGATTTTGCTTATATAACTCGCTTTTGTTCTAACTCTATATGACCCTAACCTTAATTAAGTTATTTGATTAGGCATAGTTTTGGGCCAGAAATATATAAGCTAAATATATCTGGCTAGAGATGCCTAGAATTGTCCCTTCTGTAATTTATTTTGGATGATTTTTGATTTATTAGAATTATTTTAAAAAGAATATTTTGATAACAAAATCATTTTAAACAGTTTAATTTATAAAAAATTATTTAATATTAAAGTTTTAAAAAAAATTTAGACTAAATCTAATTTATATTAGGAGATATTGATATTTAGAATATTATATTTTAATAAATTGACTAAAAAACAGAGATTAGATAAATTAAATAAAAACATTCAGAATCTAAAAATTTTATATAATCTAAATTTTAGACCTTTATGATTTTTATTTTAATATATAATTGCATTCTAATTCTAAATTTTATTAATAATAAAAATAAAATAAATATTAATAACAACTAGTATAAATATATATATATATTTTTTGTTTTAGTGATCCTTCTTTTATTATTTAAATCGGCCATAGCCATACCCCTATAGAGGCTAATCTACCTAGTATACTACATAATGCTTGTACTAATAAAGAATCACTCGATCTATTAACAAGAACCTAAAATAGATTTTACAAGGAAGACCCAGATGCAATCTGCCTAAGTGGTACTTCTTTACCTTGTCTGGGATTCTCAACTTACTGAGAATTTATATCCCAAGAGTCTGCAGTAAGTGCCTACCAATCTTGTTAGAATCACTGCTCTATATAACATATCACCAATCTGAAGAAAAATTTTCTAACAAAAAAATCAAAGATCAAATAGGGTAAGGGGAATTACGAGAAGAGGATAGTTTAAAAAAAACAAATAAGAAAGTAACTAGACTAATGAAAGGAATCTAAAATACTAATTATAAACTAAAGAACCTATCTAACAAATTAGTACTTGCTAACCAGGATACTTATCTACTTGATCATAGTAATTACATAGAACTTAGCTGATATATAAAAAGAAACCTAAGCTAAATATACTTTAATCTGTGCTAAGGGCTAAAAATTATATGCATATGATTTTATCATTAGACTGCATATCTTAAATTCTCTTTATTGCCCTAACTTTAAATCTATATTCCATTCCAAAGTATAACAAATATATTGACTCCACGTGTTCTCCTAGTCTCATCTCATCTAATTGGTGTGTAAGTCCTTAAAAGCCTTCTGAGTCCTCAATATACTGGGGTCACGTTCTCAAATAAGGAATAAATTACTTCCTAGTGATAAACAATGCTGATCTTTTAATGGGGTAGCCAAATCCCCTACTTTTTGTCAAAATTTTGATTTTGGGTGCATCAAAGCGGCGGAAAGGAAAAAATATAGTTGTTGCGAGGTTTTCAACTATAGTGAGTACTTTAAGGCTGCTTCTCTTGTTCTTCTTTCTCCTACTATCCAAGTTCCCTTTGATAAATTGCTACCAAAATATATATGCCAACGAAATTATTTTGGATTTCAGGGTACAAAATTAAAATTTGAAGATGAAATTGTTTTTGATCTATTTTATTTAAAAGATAAAATTTTTTGATACTTTTTTTAAAGAGACAAAATTATAAGAAACATAACTACCTAAATTGGATTTGTTCTTGCATATAAAAAATTCTAAATTGCTTTAATGAAGATGAAATAGGGTTTTTTGAAAATCTATTTCGGTAGCATATATATATCAGAATAACCCTTTTGGCTTAGATACCGAACATAGGAGAGAGTTCACCAGAAGAAAAGTTTAACCCAGACTACAAACTGCTTCTCTAATGCTCGCTCCTCAATGTATCACGTTAGAGGCTTTGTTAACAGCAATGGAAGGAAAAACTTGGGTAGTTTTAGACGTTAGACTTTGAGTTTTTTAACTTGAGTTGGATAAGAACGGTTGGTCCAAGTGATCATTGAGGAGAGTTGGTTAAAACAGATTGTTTAAAGAAGTTGACAACTAGTATAAATATTAATTTTTAAAATTTTATTCAAATAGTAATTTCAAAGATTATTTGATTTTAATTAAGAAGCTATCTAATTAAAACAGTATTATTTATTATTTGATTATTTGTTTTTATTAGAGGTTTATTTCTTTTTTCTTTTTTTTTTGGTATTAAATAGTTTTTTGGCTATTTGCTTTTATTCGATTATTAAATTAATTTACTATATAATTACTGCCTCTTTTTAAAACAGTCAATATAATATATATACTTGAACCTCATTAATATCAACCAATTTGGATTGGGCAATTATGTTAATATATACGAGGGTTGATAATATTGGGATAGTTTTTATATACTTTGAGTCTATTTTGTCTTAATACAAGGTTGATATTAACAGGAGGTTGATATTAACAGAAGATTGATATTAACAAGATTGATATTAATAGGAGTCAAGTATATATTAAAAAGTATATACTAGTTATATTATTATTTTTTTTTTTCCAGCATATTCTGCCACTATTTTATTAAGGTATTAACCAAGCAAAAATTACAAGAATTCTTAACTAGTTATTTTTTTAACCACAGACAGTGACTCACTTAACTTAAAAGCCTAGGTGCAATATTGTCTAGTGACCGTTTATCTCCTTTCAGACCTCTAACTTATTAGAAGCATGAATTCTTGGATCATTGGCCACTACAAGCCATATCAGTATCATCTTTTCTTTTTATAAAATAAAGTACAAACACAAATTCAAAGAGCAAAAAAGAAAAAAAGGTGTGATATCTCAACATCCAAATATGATCTATCTAAACAAAACAAAAAAAAAAACAAAATAACATATAACAGAAAAAACAAAATAAAAGAAAAGAAAACAAAGATAGCACTATTAAACTCATGCCAGATTGTAAAAATTATATAGTACTACTAAATAAACTAGTTTAAACTCTATATTAGCTATTTATGTCTATATAGGAATATATAAAATATCTATTCTTGAGTAAAGAACCAAGTTTAAAATTTCTTTTGTGATTTTACCAGGTTTTTGGCGCAGTATTCTGCAACGCATTCTCATGCTTAAGCTTGTTCCTGGGCAAAGTTGAACAATTGCTGCTATTTTATAGTTTCTGGTAGTTTTGGTATAAACACTACAACCTCTTAAAGTAACCGATTAGACATTTTTTATTCCAAAGTAGATATATACTTCTGTACGTGACTTTCTTTTTTTGGTAGCGATTATTGTTATCGATCTTTTGATGGTGATATACTGTATTTTCTACTTTTTGTCAAAACTTCGTAAAGAACAGTGAGTGAGGTCTTGGAAGAGGGTTTTGGTTTGTGAGTAGTATTAAACTTCGATAAGAAATGTGTTAAAAACTTGCTTGTTGTTCTTCTTTAGACCAGCTATATTTAACTTTGTCAGCAGAAGCTATGCTTCTATTAAAATTTTTTGTCTAAGAGCACTACTTCCTACCAGTTATCTTGTACAAAAACACTTTTAACTTGCTTGCTGAATATACAGAGAAGTTTGGAAAGAAATGGTGATTAAAACTTTGATCTTTGTAAAAACCGTTATTTATAGTTGTCTCTTCTACTTTCTTCAACAAGTTTTTCATTTTCATTAGTCGAATATTTGATACAAGTGATCATCAGGGAGAGTTGGTTTCAAAATATATATATTTTTGTATATTAGTTATATTATTATAAAATAAGTTTTTTTTAATTTCTTATTATTAGTATTATTAGTATTATTATTAGTATTATTATTATATATTATATTATTTTTTTTTTCTACTTTGGCCATTTTGGTTATCTTGTTATTGAATCCTTATTATGATTAATTGTTAATATACAAAGGGTAATTTCTTGCATAATATTGAGATATGATAGCCTGTAGTTATTTCTAAAAACACTTACAAGTGACTAGCTGCACTAAGCAGATATATCTATTTGAATAAATCATGATAAGTTTCAAAAC